TTCTAGTTCAGTTCTAGTTCAGTTCTAGTTCAGTTCTAGTTCTAGTTCAGTTCTGGTTCAGTTCTAGTTCAGTTTAGTTCAGTTCTAGTTCAGTTCTAGTTCAGTTCTAGTTCAGTTCTAGTTCAGTTCTAGTTCAGTTCTAGTTCAGTTCTAGTTCTAGTTCAGTTCTAGTTCAGTTCTAGTTCAGTTCTAGTTCAGTTCTAGTTCAGTTCTAGTTCAGTTCTAGTTCAGTTCTAGTTCAGTTCTAGTTTAGTTCTAGTTCAGTTCTAGTTCAGTTCTAGTTCAGTTCTAGTTCAGTTCTAGTTCAGTTCTAGTTCAGTTCTAGTTCAGTTCTAGTACAGTTCTAGTTCAGTTCTAGTTCAGTTCTAGTTCAGTTCTAGTTCAGTTCTAGTTCAGTTCTAGTTCAGTTCTAGTTCTAGTTCAGTTCTAGTTCAGTTCTAGTTCAGTTTTAGTTCAGTTCTAGTTCAGTTCTAGTTCAGTTCTAGTTCAGTTCTAGTTCAGTTCTAGTTCAGTTCTAGTTCAGTTCTAGTTCAGTTCTAGTTCAGTTCTAGTTCTAGTTCAGTTCTAGTTCAGTTCTAGTTCAGTTCTAGTTCAGTTCTAGTTCAGTTCTAGTTCAGTTCTAGTTCAGTTCTAGTTCAGTTCTAGTTCAGTTCTAGTTCAGTTCTAGTTCAGTTCTAGTTCAGTTCTAGTTCAGTTCTAGTTCAGTTCTAGTTCAGTTCTAGTTCTAGTTCAGTTCTAGTTCAGTTCTAGTTCAGTTCTAGTTCTAGTTCAGTTCTAGTTCAGTTCTAGTTCAGTTCTAGTTCAGTTCTAGTTCAGTTCAGTTCTAGTTCAGTTCTAGTTCAGTTCTAGTTCAGTTCTAGTTCAGTTCTAGTTCAGTTCTAGTTCAGTTTTCTAGTTCAGTTCTAGTTCAGTTCTAGTTCAGTTCTAGTTCAGTTCTAGTTCAGTTCTAGTTCAGTTCTAGTTCAGTAGTTCAGTTCTAGTTCAGTTCTAGTTCAGTTCTAGTTCAGTTCTAGTTCAGTTCTAGTTCAGTTCTAGTTCAGTTCTAGTTCAGTTCTAGTTCAGTTCTAGTTCAGTTCTAGTTCAGTTCTAGTTCAGTTCTAGTTCAGTTCTAGTTCAGTTCTAGTTCAGTTCTAGTTCAGTCTAGTTCAGTTCTAGTTCAGTTCTAGTTCAGTTTCTAGTTCAGTTCTAGTTCAGTTCTAGTTCAGTTCTAGTTCAGTTCTAGTTCAGTTCTAGTTCAGTTCTAGTTCAGTTCTAGTTCAGTTCTAGTTCAGTTCTAGTTCAGTTCTAGTTCAGTTCTAGTTCAGTTCTAGTTCAGTTCTAGTTCAGTTCTAGTTCAGTTCTAGTTCAGTTCTAGTTCAGTTCTAGTTCAGTTCTAGTTCAGTTCTAGTTCAGTTCTAGTTCAGTTCTAGTTCAGTTCTAGTTCAGTTCTAGTTCAGTTCTAGTTCAGTTCTAGTTCAGTTCTAGTTCAGTTCTAGTTCAGTTCTAGTTCAGTTCTAGTTCAGTTCTAGTTCAGTTCTAGTTCAGTTCTAGTTCAGTTCTAGTTCAGTTCTAGTTCAGTTCCAGTTCAGTTCTAGTTCAGTTCTAGTTCAGTGCTAGTTCAGTTCTAGTTCAGGTCAAACTCTAATATAATTGACTGTCATACATAACATTTACAATATACATATGTACATCGAAATTGGTACAATGGATACAAATTCGTATAATCTTATAATATTCACAATGAAGAATTCTTCTGTTAAAGAATTTTGTTCTGTATGTAAATTGCCGTAAGTATGTACCTCAATCAATACGACTGATTTGCGATAAATTATACAATATTTTATTCATTCATATTTGAAAATTTGTATAAATTAATGCTGCCTCTTAATGAACTTAATAATTGTTAACATATTTTTTCTTCTAAATACACATTATTTATCACACGACAAACAACAAAAAAATACGATTCGCAAATCAAATTAACGCCCTAAATTCATGATAATAAATGTTACACTTAGTTAAACACACACATCAAGAGATTTGTTATATCTAATCATATTCCACTGTGGCTATATGCCTCTACTCATTACTCTTAGACATATGTTCACTGAAATAGCCAAAATCTACATATGTATATACATACATATGTATGTAAATATATAGGAAAATGCATATTTCTAGATTTCAACAAGGTGTTTTAGAAAATTACACATAAACGCCAGTGTACTTCGGTTTTTGCTTGTGGGGTTTAATTCGCCACCGTAACTTACACGTTTCTAAATCATTAAGTGACTAAATTTATGGTCACACTTGTTAAATTTATTTTTTGTCTTTCTCTTACTCTGTCCGCCTCTGATCATCAACTAAATGAAACGTTAAGCTAGAAAATTTAATAAAATATCTGAATGTGAAAAACTATAATAAACTGTCATATTGTCAAAATGCAGCAGCATGTGAATGTTTTTGCACACAGCTAGCAAATATCGCCAGTGGGTAAATAATTATATGTATACGTACATATCTTCATATATTCTACAAAAATAAAATAAAGATATACTATTAAGGTTTTTTATTTATGTTTAGCCCATAAACATACATATATAGGCAGATGTTTTAAAGAATGTATAGACTATACCATAGCCTATCAAACAGGCTAGAACAGACTGCACTATATATAGACTATAGACTAGATTATAGACTAGACAATAGACTAGACTATAGACTAGACTATAGACTAGACAATAGACTAGACTATAGACTAGACTATAGACTAGACTATATATAGACTATAGACTAGACTATAGACTAGATTATAGACTAGACTATAGACTATAGACTAGACTATAGACTAGACTATAGACTAGACTATAGACTAGACTAGACTAGACTATAGAGACTATAGACTAGACTATAGACTAGACTATAGACTAGACTATAGACTAGACTATAGACTAGACTATAGACTAGACTATAGACTAGACTATAGACTAGACTATAGACTAGACTATAGACTAGACTATAGACTAGACTATAGACTAGACTATAGACTAGACTATAGACTAGACTATAGACTAGACTATAGACTAGACTATAGACTAGACTATAGACTAGACTATAGACTAGACTATAGACTAGACTATAGACTAGACTATAGACTAGACTATAGACTAGACTATAGACTAGACTATAGACTAGACTATAGACTAGACTATAGACTAGACTATAGACTAGACTATAGACTAGACTATAGACTAGACTATAGACTAGACTATAGACTAGACTATAGACTAGACTATAGACTAGACTATAGACTAGACTATAGACTAGACTATAGACTAGACTATAGACTAGACTATAGACTAGACTATAGACTAGACTATAGACTAGACTATAGACTAGACTATAGACTAGACTATAGACTAGACTATAGACTAGACTATAGACTAGACTATAGACTAGACTATAGACTAGAATATAGACTAGATATAGACGACTATAGACTAGACTATAGACTAGACTATAGACTAGACTATAGACTAGACTATAGACTAGACTATAGACTAGACTATAGACTAGACTATAGACTAGACTATAGACTAGACTATAGACTAGACTATAGACTAGACTATAGACTAGAATATAGACTAGAATATAGACTAGACTATAGACTAGACTATAGACTAGACTATAGACTAGACTATAGACTAGACTATAGACTAGACTATAGACTAGACTATAGACTAGACTATAGACTAGACTATAGACTAGACTATAGACTAGACTATAGACTAGACTATAGACTAGACTATAGACTAGACTATAGACTAGACTATAGACTAGACTATAGACTAGACTATAGACTAGACTATAGACTAGACTATAGACTAGACTATAGACTAGACTATAGACTAGACTATAGACTAGACTATAGACTAGAATAGACTAGACTATAAACTAGACTATAGACTAGACTATAGACTAGACTATAGACTAGACTATAGACTAGACTATAGACTAGACTATAGACTAGAATATAGACTAGAATATAGACTAGACTATAGACTAGACTATAGACTAGACTATAGACTAGACTATAGACTAGACTATAGACTAGACTATAGACTAGACTATAGACTAGACTATAGACTAGACTATAGACTAGACTATAGACTAGACTATAGACTAGACTATAGACTAGACTATAGACTAGACTATAGACTAGACTATAGACTAGACTATAGACTAGACTATAGACTAGACTATAGACTAGACTATAGACTAGACTATAGACTAGACAATAGACTAGACTATAGACTATACTATAGACTAGACTATAGACTAGACTATAGATTAGACTATAGACTAGACTATAGATTAGACTATAGACTAGACTATAGATTAGACTATAGATTAGACTATAGACTGGTCTATAGATTAGACTATAGACTGATCTATAGATTAGACTATAGACTAGACTATAGACTAGACTATAGACTAGACTATAGACTAGACTATAGACTAGACTATAGACTAGACTATAGACTAGACTATAGACTAGACTATAGACTAGACTATAGACTAGACTATAGACTAGACTATAGACTAGACTATAGACTAGACTATAGACTAGACTATAGCTAGACTAGACTAGACTAGACTAGACTAAGACTAGACTCTAGACTAGACTATAGACTAGACTATAACTAGACTATAGACTAGACTATAGACTAGACTAATAGCTAGACTAGAGACTAGACTATAGACTAGACTATAGACTAGACTAGACTAGACTATAGACTGGTCTATAGATTAGACTATAGACTAGTCTATAGATTATACAATAGACTTGTCTATAGATTAGACTATAGACTAGACTAGACTAGACCGAAAACTTGACTGTAGACTAGACTATGACCTACACTACACTATAGTTTATAGAATAGTTTTTTTCTTTGGATAAGAAAAGCTTAACAAAGCATTAATTTTAACTATTACTTAATTTCTCTCTAATCTCTTTTCAGGTAAGTTTATTAAAATCGATAAATGAAATCTACAATATGAATGCGAAAGATCTCAAATAACATTTTGATATATCTACAACTCTGTTCGAAGCAAACAAAACCCACACTCTGCCACATGAACGAATGACTTAATAAATGATGGCAAAATGTCAACGGTTTGTTAGAAAATTATCTAAAATAAGATTTATTTAATTTCATGTATATGCGAGTATTTCTCTGTTAACAAAAACATTTAAATTATTTATCAAAATTCAATCTGAAAAACAACATACATGAACAACTAAAATAAACTATACAACGTAGTGAAAACAAAAACTAAAGAATTATTTAATTAAATTGTGTAAAACAGAGAGATGCAAATGAATAAAAGCAAAAAAGTGATACAATACTAAATACATACATAAACATTTTCATTGATATGGTTGGATATGATGAGTTTAAAACTTGTTGATTTTTTGATTAAAATGCTTGCATTCATGCAACTAGACGACAATCCTACACCGCTACCCCAGCCAATCAACCAACCAGTCCACATACACCAAGCTCAACGATCAACAAGTGTGTGTTACTACTAGAGGAATTTATGAAATTGCAATGAAAACACAACTCTGTAATTTTTTTCGCACATTGTGATTTTTGTCAGTCAGTCGTCTACTGCTTGGTTAGAAGCAATTTTCTGTGTATAGTGCTTTGTCGGTGCCTCTATCTGTTTAGGTTGTATGAATATGCATGAATATGTTTTCGACATGTTGTAAGTTAGAAATATTTAACAAATGAATTCTAAATATATTTGTATATACGTATGTATGTAGTTTTTCTTCTATGACATTTGATAAAATGCCAGAAATTTTAACAATTCAATCTTATTTTGTTCGCTGTTCGAAGAAAATATTTCTACGTAGTATGTATGTACATAAAATGGCAAAAGAATAATAAAGCAAAATAATATACAGTAGTATAGCTGGGTGTGAAAAAGTGTTGTCAATGTGGTTCGCAGAGGACAATTGCACATTGAAGAACAGAAGAAATGTTCTTCAAATTAGATGCTCGGTTCCATCGCTACTTAAGAAAAGCTAACTTAAAGGCGAGAGTCCAGATTCTAGTGTGTACATCTATAGTCTAGTCTATAGTCTAGTCTACAGTCTAGTCTATAGTCTAGTCTATAGTCTAGTCTATAGTCTAGTCTATAGTCTAGTCTATAGTCTAGTCTATAGTCTAGTCTATAGTCTAGTCTATAGTCTAGTCTATAGTCTAGTCTATAGTCTAGTCTATAGTCTAGTTTATAGTCTAGTCTATAGTCTAGTCTATAGTCTAGTCTATAGTCTAGTCTATAGTCTAGTCTATAGTCTAGTCTATAGTCTAGTCTATAGTCTAGTCTATAGTCTAGTCTATAGTCTAGTCTATAGTCTAGTCTATAGTCTAGTCTATAGTCTAGTCTATAGTCTAGTCTATAGTCTAGTCTATAGTCTAGTCTATAGTCTAGTCTATAGTCTAGTCTATAGTCTAGTCTATAGTCTAGTCTATAGTCTAGTCTATAGTCTAGTCTATAGTCTAGTCTATAGTCTAGTCTATAGTCTCGTCTATAGTCTAGTCTATAGTCTAGTCTATAGTCTAGTCTATAGTCTAGTCTATAGTCTAGTCTATAGCCTAGTCTATAGTCTAGTCTATAGTCTAGTCTATAGTCTAGTCTATAGTCTAGTCTATAGACTAGTCTATAGTCTAGTCTATAGTCTAGTCTATAGTCTAGTCTATAGTCTAGTCTATAGTCTATAGTCTATAGTCTAGTCTATAGTCTAGTCTATATAGTCTAGTCTATAGTCTAGTCTATAGTCTAGTCTATAGTCTAGTCTATAGTCTAGTCTAGTCTAGTCTATAGTCTAGTCTATAGTCTAGTCTATAGTCTAGTCTATAGTCTAGTCTACAGTCTAGTCTATAGTCTAGTCTATAGTCCAGTCTATAGTGTAGTCTATAGTCTAGTCTATAGTCTAGTCTATAGTCTAGTCTATAGTCTAGTCTATAGTCTAGTCTATAGTCTAGTCTATAGTCTAGTCTATAGTCTAGTCTATAGTCTAGTCTATAGTCTAGTCTATAGTCTAGTCTATAGTCTAGTCTATAGTCTAGTCTATAGTCTAGTCTATAGTCTAGTCTATAGTCTAGTCTATAGTCTAGTCTATAGTCTAGTCTATAGTCTAGTCTATAGTCTAGACTATGGTCTAGTCTATAGTCTAGTCTATAGTCTAGTCTATATGCTAGTCTATAGTCTAGTCTATAGTCTAGTCTAGTCTATAGTCTAGTCTATAGTCTAGTCTATAGTCTAGTCTATAATCTAGTCTATAGTCTAGTCTATAGTCTAGTCTATAGTCTAGTCTATAGTCTAGTCTATAGTCTAGTCTATAGTCTAGTCTATAGTCTAGTCTATAGTCTAGTCTATAGTCTAGTCTAGTCTATAGTCTAGTCTATAGTCTAGTCTATAGTCTAGTCTATAGTCTAGTCTAGTCTATAGTCTAGTCTATAGTCTAGTCTATAGTCTAGTCTATAGTCTAGTCTATAGTCTAGTCATAGTCTAGTCTATAGTCTAGTCTATCTAGTCTATAGTCTAGTCTATAGTCTAGTCTATAGTCTAGTCTATAGTCTAGTCTATAGTCTAGTCTATAGTCTAGTCTATAGTCTAGTCTATAGTCTAGTCTAGTCTAGTCTATAGTCTAGTCTATAGTCTAGTCTATAGTCTAGTCTATAATCTAGTCTACAGTCTAGTCTATAGTCTAGTCTATAGTCTAGTCTATAGTCTAGTCTATAGTCTAGTCTATAGTCTAGTCTATAGTCTAGTCTATAGTCTAGTCTATAGTCTAGTCTAGTCTATAGTCTAGTCTATAGTCTAGTCTATAGTCTAGTCTATAGTCTAGTCTATAGTCTAGTCTATAGTCTAGTCTATAGTATAGTCTATAGTCTTAGTCTATAGTCTAGTCTATAGTCTAGTCTATAGTCTAGTCTCTATAGTCTAGTCTATAGTCTAGTCTATAGTCTAGTCTATAGTCTAGTCTATAGTCTAGTCTATAGTCTAGTCTATAGTCTAGTCTATAGTCTAGTCTATAGTCTAGTCTATAGTCTAGTCTATAGTCTAGTCTATAGTCTAGTCTATAGTCTAGTCTATAGTCTAGTCTATAGTCTAGTCTATAGTCTAGTCTAGTCTATAGTCTAGTCTATAGTCTAGTCTATAGTCTAGTCTATAGTCTAGTCTATAGTCTAGTCTATAGTATAGTCTATAGTCTAGTCTATAGTCTAGTCTATAGTCTAGTCTATAGTCTAGTCTATAGTCTAGTCTATAGTCTAGTCTATAGTCTAGTCTATAGTCTAGTCTATAGTCTAGTCTATAGTATAGTCTATAGTCTAGTCTATAGTATAGTCTATAGTCTAGTCTATAGTCTAGTCTATAGTCTAGTCTATAGTCTAGTCTATAGTCTAGTCTATAGTTTAGTCTATAGTCTAGTCTATAGTCTAGTCTATAGTTTAGTCTATAGTCTAGTCTATAGTCTAGTCTATTGTCTAGTCTATAGTCTAGTCTATTGTCTAGTCTATAGTCTAGTCTATAGTCTAGTCTATAGTATAGTCTATAGTCTAGTCTATAGTCTAGTCTATAGTCTAGTCTATAGTCTAGTCTATAGTCTAGTCTATAGTCTAGTCTATAGTCTAGTCTATAGTCTAGTCTATAGTCTAGTCTATAGTCTAGTCTATAGTCTAGTCTATAGTCTAGTCTATAGTCTAGTCTATAGTCTAGTCTATAGTCTAGTCTATAGTCTAGTCTATAGTCTAGTCTATAGTCTAGTCTATAGTCTAGTCTAGTCTATAGTCTAGTCTATAGTCTAGTCTATAGTCTAGTCTATAGTCTAGTCTATAGTATAGTCTATAGTCTAGTCTATAGTCTAGTCTATAGTCTAGTCTATAGTCTAGTCTATAGTCTAGTCTATAGTCTAGTCTATAGTCTAGTCTATAGTCTAGTCTATAGTCTAGTCTATAGTCTAGTCTATAGTATAGTCTATAGTCTAGTCTATAGTATAGTCTATAGTCTAGTCTATAGTCTAGTCTATAGTCTAGTCTATAGTCTAGTCTAGTCTAGTCTAGTCTATAGTATAGTCTATAGTCTAGTCTTTAGTCTAGTCTATAGTCTAGTCTATAGTCTAGTCTATAGTCTAGTCTATAGTTTAGTCTATAGTCTAGTCTATAGTCTAGTCTATAGTTTAGTCTATAGTCTAGTCTATAGTCTAGTCTATTGTCTAGTCTATAGTCTAGTCTATTGTCTAGTCTATAGTCTAGTCTATAGTCTAGTCTATAGTCTAGGCTATTGTCTGGTCTATAGTCTAGTCTATAGTCTAGTCTATAGTCTAGTCTATTGTGTCATCTAAAACTTAACTAGTCCATTGTATTGACTACTTAAAATTCATTGAACCGAGTATTCGTTAAACCGTCAAACCGATGTATTATCTTTTTGTAATCTTAGCGCTTTATTAATCACCAAATAAGCGTTACTTGTTTAGTTCATATGCAAAACAAATCTCTTCTTACTTATTCATTACGCAAAATTCTCTAAAGTATAAGGAAAAACATGGACTGTAGAGACAACATCAACAGGCATAAACTCAAGTCAACAAAAAAATTTGCCGAAATGGGCGAATGGACGGACTGATACATAGATAGAGTGATAGTTTTTCCATTTTCAATTTAATTATGCAAAATTAACATAAAACTGTTCATTTTATACCTTAGAACTGTATAATTGCTTGGGATATTATAGGTTGGTGCTTGTGTTTGTAACACACATATGTATATTGATCCTACTGGTCCATCCGTGTATCTGTCTACCGGTTTTGTCTTATAAACCAAATACAGATTGAGAATAAACACTTCTGGATCCAAGAGTGATGCCTATTGCTTTTGATTAAAATTTATCCCTGAATTCCCATAATCCCAACAAAATTGTTTTCATATGTAGGGTGTCATATGATGGTGCATGAATTGCAATAATTTAATTTTTGTGTTTTGGCACTTTTATTTAGTTCTCCTTCAATAGGGAACATTTTACATATCTCTTACTCTCTGTCTAGTTTAGTAAAATTTATATGCCGCTAGTTTTCGTGTTTATATGTAGATAGTATATGTGGCATATAATGTGATATTAAATATTGCTGGCATTACGTCGTTGTTTGTTGTTTAAACGTTTTTACGGTGTATTGGACTGCAACAAGTACTATTTGACTGCAGTTGAGTGCGTGTGTGCAAGTTGCATTAATTATGCGCACAAGTGTAAATTATAGTGTGTGTGTCTCCGTGTGTATTTGATAGTGTTTAAATAAAAATTTTTTGTTTTGTTGTTTTGTTTTAATTTTATACACAATAATCGGATTCTATGCAATAATAAGCATAAATTAAACTGCACAATAGCAAAAGTGTGCAGCTATGGCACTTTGCTTACGTTTTCCAAAAAAAAAAAAATTAATATATTTTTTTCAAAACAATAATATTTAAAACAACAACAACAACCTGATATGAGCTAAAGCTAATTTTAAGGGTAAAATTACTGCTTGCCTAAACCCCTATCGATGTCTCTGGTATTACTGTTATCATAATGTGGTAGATTTTAGTTGCAGATAAATGTGTACTAATACTTATCAGGGTGGAGGTGTTGCACAATTGTATCGTATCTCCACTTGCATGTAGACAACATAAATATAGTGTGTATTGTTAATGTATGTATTATTTGCCTCATTAAGTGTGTCTGTTAAACATTATACTATACTGCTATAGTATATTCTCTAAATTATATGACACGCGATTTATGATGTGCTAATGATGTTTGACTGATTTCATTTATAGAGTTGCATATTATTTATTTATTTATTTATTTATTTATTGGATGGGTTAGAAACTATCTAGTGATTTCAATTAATAGTAAAATTTTGTGTGGATTTTTTGCTATCCAAGGAAATAATTTTTTCTCCTAGCCCATAGAAAATATTAAACATTTTGCAAACAATTTACAATTTATGTTTGTCATATACAATTTTGACTTCCTCTATAAATATTATT